CCTACCCCAAAGCCCCTAGCCCAGCTCAGCCCAGCCCCAGCCCCCAAACCCCAACCCCCAGCCCAGCCCCACAAGTGGCCCCCTCCAAGGCCTATGCAATCTCCCAGCAGGCAAACCTAATGGAGGGCCAGGAAGGGATGGTTCAGGGGCTCAGAGGGTGTCCTGTTGTCAAGGCGGCACCCTGCGTTTCACAGCCTGGTGATGCAGGTCAGACCCTGCATATAGATGCATCCCAGCAGGTCAGGCCTTGTCAAAGGCTTCACTCAGCAGCTGCTAATTGGTGGCCACCTCCACAGCCTCCCCTGCCCTCAGCCCTGCAGCTGCTCCGGCTCTGCCCGCTGCACCACTGCCTCTTTGCCCCCTCACTTACTCCCCCACTGTGTGGGTCAGGGGCCTGCAGGGTCCCAGGGCAGGCTGGTCTTCTCTGGCCCTGCATCACCTGCCCGCTCTGGGCTCATGTGTTCTGGGCAGCCTGGCTGAGCTGGACAGGAGGGAGGGAACCACCTGTGGGTCCCCAGACCTGCTCCTCTGCTGGGACGCAGGCAAGGAGGCTGCTCCGCTCCCTTCTCTCTGTGACCAGAAACATCCAGCTCAGAGAGACTGTCAGATCTCGAGACCTCAAAGGGGTCTGGGCCTGAGTGGGTGGAGGGTGGAGGGCACAGGACCACAGAGGAACATTCCCATCCTGGGTGCCAGGGTAGCCAGGGTGCCTGGTGCTCCGGGCAGGTATGAAGGCCACACAAGCCAGGGCAGGCCTTGGAAGTTCCTCCCCATTGGAAATGGGGCTTCTTCCTGGGGCAGCCCTGGTCCCTTCCCTACAAGGAGGCAGGTTGAAAGCCCCTCTCCCCAGGCCCAGCCTATTTCTGGCTCAAAGACCCCTTGAACTCGTCCCCAGGGCCACCCCACCATCCCCGTGCCTGATGCCCTTGAAGTGAGGGTCTCCCAAGCGCCAAATGGTTTGTTACTTGGATTTTCATGCCCAGCTGCCTCTTGGCGCCTGCCTCCCTCCCTCCTCCCCTCCCGCCTCCCGCCCTCCTCCTGCCTCTGAGCACCACCTGTCTCTCCAGCCTGCCTCAGCAACCCCTGCTTGCCTGTTGCCAGGGAAACCGCCTCCTTGGCAACCAGCCGGCATCCATATGACATGTACACTCAGGAAGGAAAGGCTTCTGCTCTTGCTTAGGCTGTTGGTGGGCTCTGCTGTGAAGCCCAACAGGTTCTGAGGGAGGGTCTGTCTGGTCTGTGATCCCAGAGAGGGAGGTGGGCAGGCATCATGCCTCACTTGACCATTCAACAGCAGCTTATAAAGCACCTACTACTTGCCTGCCTATGTGCGGGGCCCTCTGCACACAGTATCTCATTTAATCATGCATTGAACCTGCAAAATAGATGTGATTATTCCCATTTTATAGACGTGGAAACCGAGGCATGGAGAGGTTAAGGGGTTGCCTTTGGCTGGCAGAAGTCAGAGCTGAGATTTGAACTTACCCTTGTCTGATTTTAAAGCCCTGGTTCTTCTTTTTTGAGACAAAGTCTCGCTGTCGCCAGGCTGGAGTGCAGTGGTGTGATCTTGGCTCATTGCAACCTCTGCCTCCCAGGTTGAAGTGATTCCCCTGCCTCAGCCTCCTGAGTAGCTGGGACTACAGGCACGCACCACCACGCTCAGCTAAGTTTTGTATTTTTAGTAGAGACGGGGTTTAACCATGTTGGCCAGTATGGTCTCAATCTCCTGACCTCGTGATCTGCCCGCCTTGGCCTCTCAAAGTGCTGAGATTACAGGGGTGAGCCCCCGTGCCCTGCCAAAAGTCCTGGTTCTTTCTACCACCTTGAGGTCTCTGGTCAGGCCTCTCTTAGCTGGGCCAAGAGTGAGTGGGTCCTAGGACACCTGAGTGACGGGGAAGCCCCTCACGATAGCTTGTTGGGTGCTGCTCCCTTTGTAACAAGCACAGCTGTGGGATCAGGAACCCAGAGACAAACTCGGCATGGTCCCTGCCCTCAAGGAGCTCCCAGTCTGGTGAGATGCTGGTGGGAGCAGGATTCTGACATGATCCAGTACAGGAGCCATGAGGCCCAGGGCAGGGCCTCCAGCCGCAGCTGAGCTCGACACTCACTCGGGCTTCCTGGGAGGAGGCTTGGGCTGTGGAGAGCCTATGGTCAGAGAGTGGATGGCGGGAGCTTGAGATCTCCAGGGAGGCGCATATGGGTGATGGCTACATCCCAGGTGGCCCAGGAGGGGTGGCTGAGGGGAATGAAAGGAAAGTGACAGGCAAGGGGTCTGAGGGGTGTGCTGAGAACCAGGGCTGGACTCTGGAGTGCCCCAGCAGGGCACCGGCCCAATGGCCAGGGAGTGTGACCCCAGTGGGTGCCTGGTTATCCTTGAGTACAGGCTGGGGTGGGGAGAGCTAGAGGGTGCGGGTGGGTGGGAGGGGCGTGAAGACAGAGGTCAGGGAGGCATCCTATTGGAGCAGTAGCCACAGGTGTCATTGCAGGGGACTGCTGGCTGCCAGGCCCTTGAGAGCCTAGGGACAGGCAGGGACAGCAGGAGGAGACCTGGCCCTTCCTCTGGCCAGCCAGGTGGAAGCCTGGATAAAACCTGCCAGGTGGAGCACAAGGCTTTACTGGAGTCCTAAAGTGGGCTTAGGGAAGTGGCAGAGAACAAAGAGGGGTCAGCCCTGTACAGGCAGGGAAGGGGTGAGGTGACTCTGGGAAAGGCGGTGGCAGGTACAAAGGTGTGGCAGGGCTCCGCCCTCCCCGGGCTCCCATGGCGGAGTGTATAACAGGCAGGGAGGCCAGCTGCTGGGGCTGGGGACTGCCCTTCTGCACACCTGCCCCTGATCTTGGCACCCTTTCTCTTGCAGGCTCTGCAGCGCCGCGAGACCGAGGTCTATGCCTGCATCGAGAGTGAGAATGGCAGCCCACCCACTGCCACGCACAGCCCGCTCTCCAAGGTACACAGGCGCGGGACCCCAAGCCCAGCTTCTCACTGCATCTGACCCTCCCATCATGGGTGAAGTGGGGGGCAAATGGGACATGGAAATGAGCCACCTGCTGTGGAATCCCAGCCCTCTCCTGGTGGCAGCTGGCCTGCTGGTTAGGACTGGAGGGTTTGAGTTCCTGCCCCATCCCTTAGCCACTGTGCAGCCCTGGGTGAGGCAACTAACTTCTCTGTGTCTGAATCTCCCTGTGTGCAGACTGAGCCACCTAACCGTACCCACGTAGGAGATTTTCTGTGAGGGTAGAAGGTTGTGCTGAGGGAGCTGCCTGGGACCTGCTGTGCCCACGCACTGTGAGCCAGTGTAACTACCACGGGCATGGTGTCCACACTGGCCAAGCACAGGGAGTGTTAGGCCTCCAGCTGCCCCCAGGCCAGTGTTGGCTCAAGTCTGGAGCTAGAGTGTGAGCTGTTAGAAGCTGGGCTGCGGGTCAGGGCTCTGCGATGGTCATGATAGTGCCTCAGGCGTATTACGCCACCATACCTTCTCTCTTAAACCTGTTTGCTCATCTGTAAAGTGGGTGAGCAATGCTTTCCTGCAATACCAACTGCTCCTGAGTTCAGATGTGTTCCAAGTTGAGTGACATCTGCGGCAGAGTTTTCAGCACTGTGAAGTGTGAGGTGTCATTCAGCCAGAACAGCAGCTCATGGGCATCTTGGAGCACCCGTCAGGGAGGGCAGGCAGCTGGCACTTGGGCTTCTGGCCCAGGCCGGCACTATTTGTTAAATTGCCTATTCTTGTAGCCCTTTCTATACTCAGCCCTCAACTAGACCCCGAGTGAAAGCAGGGTTTCTCCCGGCCTGGGACCCCCGGGGATGTCTGGGCCATCGCAGGCAGTGCCCACCCTGTGCCAGGCCCTGGGGTGCTGGTCAGGAGAACTAGGCATGTCCCTGGCCTCTGGGAGCCACAGTCTGTAGGAACAGGTCACTGACCCCATGGACACACAGCGGTATTTGTCGCCCTGTTGTGAGGGGTGGTCTTCTGGGAGGGACCAGCCAGGGCGGGGAGGGGGGAGGGGGTCCTGGGACCCTACCATGAGCCGGTAACCAGATGAATAGGCAGTCGGAACAGGTGAGTCTATGGGAGGAGTCGCTTCCCAGACAGAGGGCAGAAGGCTGAGAGCAGAGCTGTGGGGGAAGCTCTGAGGCTGGAAGGGGAGGCCCATGTGGCTGGAGGGCAGAGAGCAGGAGTGGGGGCAGCGTGGTGCGGGAAGAGGCTGGGAGGTGGTTTTGGAGACAGAGGGCAGGCCCTCCATCCAGGCTACACAGGAAGTGATCTGTCGCCCTCTGGCTAAAACTAAATGAGTTCAAGTTCATTCTTTTCCACCTAACGGTCATTTTCTTTCTCTCCCTCCCTCCCTTTCTTCTTTTCTATCCAGGAGAAACTGCATAGATTCCAAGATGACGATGAACTTAACCTGGTCTATGAAAACCTCTAGAATGGGCTCCACGGCCTGCAGAGCTTGCCCTGGGTCAGAGGACCGGGCAGCCCCTGCCACCAAAGGACTTGACCTGAACTGGGAGAAAGGCCCCCAGAGACACCCCATCATCTCACCCTCACATTCAAGGCCCTTTCTGCCTTGGCTGGCCCCGCTCCCCCTATTCTGTGACTCGGCCACCAAGGGTTTCACATCTTGGGGCCTTTGCCCAGGCTGTTCCTTCTGCCAAGCAGTCCCTTCCTCCCTTGGCCCAACCAGCAGTGCTCCTCAGTCTTCAAGGGGTCTCCTGGGTGCCACCCTTGCCCGGAGCCCTGCTTGCCACCTCTCGCTGACAGAGCAGCGTGCTCTCTTGGCACCAGCCTGCACTTCGGCCAGCAGGGCAGCCTGTGAGCTGAGGGAGGACCCGGCAAGGGCTTCTTAGCAGTGCTGTGTGGGGAGCCGAGGTGTGGAGGGGCTGGGGAGTGGCTGCGCAAACCCCCACTTGCCCAGCTGGGCCAGAGGCATGAGGCAGCCACCCAGGGCTGGCGTGGGAGGTCCGCGGGACAGACAGGGACGATGGACCCCTGCAGAGGCCAGACTGGTATCAGGGACAAATCTAGAGGTCTAGAACACAGCAGGCTGGGGACCTGGAGCAGAGAGGGCATGGGTACAAGCTGGTGAGGAAGCAGATTCTGGCGTGTTTGGGGTGAGGGCAGAGGGACCGATGAGGGGAGGAGGGCACTGGCTAAACAGGAGCTGAAGGCCGGGCGCGGCGGCCCACGCCTGTGATCCCAGCGCTTTGGGAGGCCGAGGCGGGCAGATCACGAGGTCAAGATATCAAGACCATCCTGGCCAACATGGTGAAACCCCATCTTTACTAAAAATACAAAAATTTGCTAGGCGAGACGGTGTGCGCCTGTAGTCCCAGCTACTCAGGAGGCTGAGGCAGAATTGCTTAAACTGGGAGGCAGAGATTATAGCTAGCTGAGATCACACCACTGTACTCCATCCTGGCGACAGAGCGAGACTTCGTCTAAAAAAAAAAAGGGAGCTGAATGGATAGCCTGAAGCTCCCCCTCCCCTAAGGGTCCCCACTCCCATTCATTGGCCTGTGTCATTTCCTTGGTCACCTTCAGGCCTTCCCCACGGCCGGGCCTCAGCCATCCCTCCTTCCACCCAAGGTGCAGTGCCCCAAAGCCCCTTCTGTCTGGCCTGGCCTGTGCCCACCACCTGTGGTGTCACCCAGCCCTCCTGCTCTGTCTTTACCTGCTGTAAGCCCAGCCCTGGTCCCCTGTGGATTGAGGTCCCAAGTGGTCCAGCTGTAGGGTTTGGTGCTGGGACCCTCATGGGCAGCTGAAGGATCCCTCTGAGGCAGAATCTCAGGCCCCATGGGGACAGTGACTCCCCAGTGCCTGGCCCTGAGCCAAGTCTGCTGTTCTGAGTGCCCACGTCACCTCATTTCCAACTCACAGCAGCCCTGCACTGCGGCCAGAAACCCATCCCCAGGCAGGCAGCAGCTGGGTCGAGGCGTTCCTGGGCTGTCAGGCTCTGCCTCCTCTCTCCCCTCCCGCATCCCCCCCTGAATTCTCCCACCTTTGCTCATTTGTGAAATGGGCCAGTCAATCCTCCCACCCCACCTTGTGGGCTGCCCCAACCCCAAATGTGCCCAGGGAGGGTGGGGAGCCCAAGGCACAGGCCCTGCCCCTGCCCCCAAGCAGCATGGGGTCACCAGCTGGCAGAAGCACCTTCGGTTCTGCAGGTCAAGGCCCTCCCTGCAGGGATGGGAAGGCTGGTGGTAGACGCTGGGCACTGACTGACCTCCAGAAGTCCCCGATCCCACAGGACAGCCAGTGGCCTCCCAGCTTGTTTGGGGCACCTGCCTGAGACCACACATGGTGAAGAGGGCTTTAGCAGGCTAGCAGGACCAAGTGGCAAGGCCCCTGCTCCCAGACGCTGGATTTGAATGAACTCGGGGCCTGTGTGAGGCGAAGCTGGTAGGTGTGCGCGGCGGCCTCCCAGGCTCCTGGCTCCACCAGCCTGAGGTGGGGGTGAGGGTCAGGGCAATGGGGGTCAATGCTACTCAGGGTGCAGTGAGCTGCCCCAGGAAATCCGGAGCCAGCAAGACAAGGAGAGGGCCCCCGCGCTGGGCCTGCCTCCCCCACCTCCTGGGCCTCTCTAATCTCAGCTCCCAGACCCTGGACCCTCCAGCTGGGACTCAGCGTTTTCCAGTGTGTTTCAGGGCTAGAGAGGGGAGCCTGGAGGGAGCTTTACCACTGTGCCCTGGCCCAGGCGTCACCAACACAGCCTCCTGCAGCTGCCCTGCCCCCAACAGACCCCGATGAAACCCACACATGGCCTTGGACTCCCCTGCTCCACACCTTGCATGGGTTTTGCCTCACTTGGAATAAAATTCCAACTCTTCCCTGTGGCCTAGGAGGTTCTTGGGGGCTGAGCATCACCCCTCTGGTAGATGTAGACATTGCCAGCATGGTGGTCAGCTGTGCTTGGTTCAGGGCAGGGCTGGGAGGCGGTGGGTGCTGAGGTCTTCAGTGAGCAAGCAGAGAGGCTGGGAGAAAGAGGAGGAGGAGGAGGAGGAAGAGGAGGAGGAGGAGGAAGAGGAGGAGGAAGAGGAGGAGGAGGAGGGGGTAGCATGGAAGGACAGGACCCTAAAGGGCTTTGACCCAAGGGAGAGTGGGGCAAGAAAGTTCCAAGACCAGGCCGGGCATGGTGGCTCAAGCCTGTAATCCCAGCACTTTGGGAGGCCGAGGCGGGTGGATCACGAGGTCAAGAGATCGAGACCATCCTGGTCAACACGGTGAAACCCCGTCTCCACTAAAACTACAAAAAATTAGCTGGGCATGGTGGCGCATGCCTGTAATCCCAGCTACTCGGGAGGCTGAGGCAGGAGAATTGCCTGAACCCAGGAGACGGAGGTTGCGGTGAGCCGAGATCGCGCCATTGCACTCCAGCCTGGGTAACAAGAGTGAAACTCCGTCTCGAAAAAAAAAAAAAAAAAAAAAGAAAAAAGAAAGTTCCAAGACCTCTGTGGGCGGCAAAGAGGACTGAACACCTGTTCTGAGCCCCCAGGAATGACAGCCTGCAGAGGTGAGCTGGCTCAGGGCAAGGGGTGGCAGTGAACTTCGGGGTGGGAGGCGCAGGGGGGAGTGGGTGGGGGGAGGAAGAAGAACAGAAAGGGGATGGAGAGGGCAGGAATGTGAGCTGCTGGGGTGCAGGCTTGCTTTCCACTTGGAATGGGTAGAGGAGAGAAGAGAAGAAAATGGCTTTTGAGAGCATCACAGGCTCCACCCCCAACAGCCTTGTGACCTTGGCAAGTCCCTGGCCACCTAAGCCTCAGTTTGCAGTGACAGTCAAGACAGCTCAGGCCAGACATGGTAGCTCCTGCCTGTGATCCCAGCACTTTGGGAGGCTGAGGGGGGTGTATCACTTAAGGCCAGGAGTTCGAGACCAGCCTAGTCAACATGGCGAAACCCCAGCTCTACTAAAAATACAATTTGCCTGGTGTGATGGTGGGCACCTGTAGTCCCAGCTACTCAGGAGGCTAAGGCAGGAGAATCGCTTGAACCCGGGAGGCAGAGGTTGCAGTGAGCCGAGATGGCTCCACTGCATGCCGGCCTGGGCAACAGAGCGTGACTCTGTCCAAAAAAAAAAAAAAAAAAAAACTGCTCAGTGTCTCTCAGAAAGGACAAATTGGGACTCCCTGGCTCCCTGGCTCAGGCAGAGGCTCAGTGGGTGTGCATTTCCTTCAAGATTCGTCCTTCAGAAGAAACAGGCTGCTGGGGCAGTGCAGAGGGTGTAAGTGACGAGCAGGCCTCCCTGGGAGCTGGGTCCCGGGCTCTGCAGCCATGCCTGTAAGGACTGCCTGCGGGGTAGCACGATCAGGGGGACAGGCCAGGGCTGCCCAGAGCTGGGGGTGGGGGCAAGGCGAGCAGAGAGGTGAACGGAGGAGGATGCTGGCTCAGCAGGAGCTGAATGAATGGGCCTGGAGAAGAGCTGAGAGGGGGGTGGGGATGGCTTGAGCGGAGTAGCTGAGGCCCAGGTAAAGGGGAGCCAAGGGCCTTCCAGGAAGGACGGATGTGAGCAGTCCTGAGCGGGATGGGCTTAGGGCGGGGAAGGGAAGCCCCAGGCAGCCCCTGCAGGCTCCGGCCCAGGTCTCTGAGTCTCAGCCGATGCCTCCCTCTGCCCACTGCCCCCTGTCCTGGTGGGATTTCCCACCATCTCCCCACCCAGCCTGCCCTACCCTCCTAGGTCTTCCCAACCTTGGCCTCCACAGACACATCTCAGCCACGTCTGGCACCCCCAGGCTTCCCTGCCTGCCTTCCCTGCCTGCCTCTAGGAAATTGACCCCGTCAGTGGGTTTCAGCCTTGTCAAACCCTCTCTGCTTGGCTCCTGCTCTGTCAGCACTTGCTTGAGAAAATCATCCTGGGAAACCAGCCTCTGGGAGCAGGGGCCTTGCCCCTCAGTTCTGCAAGCCTGCCAAAGCCCTCCCTGCCTTATGTGCTCGCAGGCGGGGGCCCAGAACCAAGCTAGGAGGCCACTGGCTGCCGTCTGGGGCCACCCTAGCAGGGGGCCCAGGGACTTCTTTTGGAGGTCAGCCTGTGGCCAGCGTCTACCACCAGCCCAGAAACTGAAGTGGGTGCAGGAAGCGGTGTTCCCTCCTCAGCAAACATTTCCAGAGGATTCTGGCAGCAGAGTTTCCATGGGAACATGTGCTGGTTCTCCGCTGAACCCAGTGGGGCTGGGGTTCCCTTCACAGCCAATATTGTGGACCTGAGCCTGGTGGCCTTGGCCAGGGTGGGCAGTGCTCTCTGGCCACCCACTCTCACAAACCTGAGCTCAAGTTATAGGCAAAACCTGCTTTTCCTTTTTCTTTTTTTTAAAAGCACATTCTAATTTAAAGGCCACATTCCATTCTAAAGACGCCTCTGGGATTTCAGAGATGGATTTTTGTGTAGTTCAATAGTTTTCTTGGCAGACAGCTTATGCAGGAGGGGTGGCTCAGTCCAGCCAGGATGAGTGGCATCACTCCGTTCCCTGAAACGCCAGGGGATGTCATTTGCCCACCTGAGGGGCTTCCCCAGTCTTAAGCACTAGGCTGTGGTCAGAATGATGGCCTCAGCCTTGACCGAGCACAGGTCAAGCCAGACTCTCTGCACTTGCTGTTAGCGTGTGTGTTGTGTGTGTCTGGAGGTGACATATGTG